CAGAACTCAGCATTCCTTCAGTCTGGACTCTTTTCAAAGGGTCGTGTTATTCAAACACTGAATCCTCGTTTCTCTCCATAAAATATTCCGTTCGAAGTAGTGTGGCAGAGGCTTACTTCATGGTAGTGTTCATCACGAATTGACATCATTTGGAAAATCATTGAAAAGCTGGGAGTAATGAGCACCTGTTGAACCACTCTACAGTAACAAGGACACGCGTTTCACTAGTGTGGAATTCCGTGACAACTGCTCATGGTGAGATGTGAAGAAAGGGACAGGTTTTTAGGTTATAGATATTCTAAGACTTGACCGATCACCTATAACTTTGCAAGGCAACTACCGTAGAGGTATTTGTGGAAAGCAACTGGAAGAACTTTAAAATGCCTGCCTGTTTATTTTCCAGTTTTTGTGAACACATCTTCTGAAACATAACCTAATTTTGACAGCGTTTACTAGCCTACGTGAAAGCTTTTCAAACTATTCACTGCAATATTCAAAAGCCGTTAAGTTTTACCAAATCGTTAGATGAAAATTGAGATTTTTATTTCAGTTTTGTCAGTTTCTTCTCATACAGCAATCTCAATTTTTATATTCTTCTTCTCCACAAGGTCAATTTTACAAATTTTCTCTTCAATATTCTTACTCGTTTTATTCCACCGTCGGTCGATTGGACAGAATTTGATCGGTCTCTATTGTCATATGTGCTCCACATGGATGCTTCGATGCTTCCTGTGTTTCAGTTTTATATCATTAACAGAGGGAGGTTAGCGGAGTAATCCAAGAATCTGAATTGACACTCTTACTGCAGAGAAACAACACGTCTAATTTCGCTTTCTGAAAGAGCGTGAAGTTCAGGCTGTTCTCAAATCATTTCATTCTTCTTGTCTACAAGCATTCTGATTAACAGTGAACACACATCATATGACACTGAGGGTTTATGTGATGTGACAAAGCAATCTAGTTGACGAGAAAATTGAAATAACCCTCCGAAGTTATTAGTTGCTAATTTATTTCGAATGTGTTTCATCTTTTGAGATTACTGTCCACTCAGTTTAGGAGATGGTGGATATAGCATTCACGTGGTGAGACTGAGACACACCCAGCTTATAGACTCAAGGTGCATTAAAAATGAACAGTAAGCTTCACCTTCTTCGTTCTAATCTGTTTTCATTTAAAGTATCTCATACACATTGTCAAGCCAACACTATCGTGTGGTGCTGTCAAGGAAGAATTCAGACATCATTAACTGCATGTCACAGACAAGATCGTTATTATTTTTATTAATATTATTTACCCATCGAGTTGCTAGTGAAACTTAGGGCTCAGTAGTACGCGTCAATTTCACTCTCCCCTCCACAACTGCCCACAAGCTTCCATTTCTTACTCACATGACCTCCTCCATGTCACCCTCACCTCAGACGCCAAACTCGTCGTTTCCCATCTGCGCTCCACTCGACTGCCTGACCTGACCTGACCTGGCCTGGCGCGTGATGTCCCTAATCGGCCTTCTCAGTGTCTGCTCAATCCAGTCCATCTCCACTCTCTTCTACATATTTGTTGGCCGGTAGGTTCTTGCTTTGTTGGTTCGTTTCCAGTCAGACTTACTCCTTACTTATTCTTTCTGGTCATCTTATCTTATCTTCATCTTCAGTATTGAGTGAGCGTAGTTTCCAACTGTTTATGGATGTCTGTAGTTTGTTGGGAATGATTTTCGCGAAACCCCAACATTCTGAACCATCACACTGAAACACTGACTCGACTGACAACAGTGTCAAAAATCCGCAGGTTCACAGACAAATTTAGTCAACTTTATTTGGCTTGCAGTACATAAACAATCAACAGGGTGGTTAAACTAGGCTTACTCATACATCTCATGGCCAAAAGACATCCTCGGGATGACTCCACACAATATCTCACAATACTTCACAAGTTCCTCTATATATACGCAAGTTCACTTGCTTACAGTTATGTAGTTTATTCTCGATCTTTCTAACCTTCTCAAATATTTTGTTGAGACACTCATTTTCGTAGAAACAAAACAAATCCAAACGTCTTCTCCAGTTTACTTTGGTTTTGTTTTATCATAAAGTATTGATGACAGAGATAAAGACAGAGAAGAGAAGAAGTCGAAGTGGGAATGGGTTGAAAAATAGTTCCACCTGATGAGTCACTGAACGAAATGGCATTTGACTAAGAATACAAGACGATTTCAAAATAATATTTGAACAACGAATGAAATTACTAATAGTACGATTGTCATCACCCGGTTCCCAATCGCATTTTTTAATCCTCGAATACATCTCTGTATCGAAGAATAATTAATTGCTCTTTTCATGCTTTCGAATAATCAATCACTGGAACTAAAACCACACTGTAATACAGTTGCGTCATTGGGTCGGAATCCAATGGTAACATACTGGCTACGTGACCTGGAGGTCCTGTGTTCCATCCCTGGTGGGATCATGGGTGCATATGGAGCTGTAGCTCAGTGATTTACGGAGATGAATATCAACTAATGGGTCACACGTTTCAGCCCTGCTTCACCTATCGACATTTGGGCAGCCATGTTAATCACTGACTCTCACACAATAGGTGTGGCCTCTTACTTAGTGCACGGATGTCCACAAGGTGTCTGAGTGCAGTTGCTCTGCAAGAGTGCTCACTGTTGAGAAGTCTCATGCGTGGATGAAACAGCTGTCCATTGCTTCCAGGCTTCTGGCGTTTGTCTAACTGACGTTAGTTCATGATGAATGCCAACTTCTAAATTTTATAGCAGCTTGTTGTTTGTTTTGTTCGCCATTTCAACAATAGTAACGAGGGATCTTGATGTCAGATTCATATTTCTGAAGATTTTTTTATTAAAAAAATCGAAGCGTTGAGTAATATAGCAAAAGATTTTGTACTTTGTTATTAGTTTTAATTGTACTTCGCCAGGATAACACAAATTAATTTTATTTTATACAACGAAATATGCTCATAAAGTTCTTTGAATTAAATTGGCCTTTTGATTTCAAGAGTTTACAATAAATTTCTTCGAAGCAAGTCTTTTTGATGTACCTGCAAATTCTGTAAAATCTCAGTTATCAGAGATGTCAACGTAAACATTAGAGTTTTCAAATTAAGTAACTAATCTGAATCTTTTTAAAGAACAGCATACTTTGGTTTACGTGTGCTTACCATGAATTTCAGTTAATCAAGTAACAACCTATAGGACGTATATATTGTTAAACGCCCGAACTAAACTTATGGCTAGTATCACTAAACTACTCCTCATAAGCATTTCACGCATGTAACCTAAGATACAAGAAACTTTCTCCAAAACTTCCGAGTGACTTTGCTTACATTCAACCTATTCCCTTTTTCACTGGCTGTCACTCAAGCAGTACAAAATAAATATTGTCAAGTAGTTTCGGCTTTTTATCAAATAAAAATAACTTGTAAGCTCGATTCACTATATAAATTAATTCCACTTTATGTAGAACTTCATGTTTCTAAATTTGTAACTGACTCATCATGGATAATGGCAATCGGTGGAATTCAGGACGCACTTACTGTCATGTTAGGACTCCCAAGCTGGATGTACCTACCGCATAGTGATAGATTTTGTTCACATTGTGATTCCAGCCTAGAATTCATTGTTTCCATTACCACAGGTTTATCAACTATGTCATCGATTTTGACAACACGTATGCAGGTTGAAGTAATCAACCAGCGCGAGTTAGGTTATCTGACAACAACAGTTTATCTAAATCGGGATCGGCAGATCACAGTAAGATAAAGAAACTAGGAACAGCTTTGCTATAGCTCCGTATGCAATTAAACATAATCACGTAATATAACAGAAAAGAGTGGCAGTCCGTAAAACTAACTTAATTATCAAATTATTTTCTATAGAACCAACGCTAAATATGTGAGACTAAATATATAGAAATTTTCGATATCTTACTCAACTAAAAGATAAAGAATTAACCATGTGAACCACCCCTTAAATCTGTGGAGCTATCTTGACATGAATGGACAGCAAAATGTGTTCAAAATGTAATGTAGTAAATTATCCTTTTTTACGCTGTGACATATCTAGAAGTCTCAGAAAAGTGAGCAGTCACTGTTGGTGTGATATAATATTGCAGTTTGTAGATTCTTGTCATTGATTAGAACACAGTGATCAGCAGATATTGGCTTTTAAGCTTCTGTGTGGATGCCTCAATTTTCATGGTAATTTTAAACTAGTGCCAATGATAAAAATTGGTTAGCAGTGGAATCAACGGTGTATATTTGAATCTACTTGTGACACGTCGGCTGAATGTGCCTGTCTACGAGTTAGCCATTGTGTTTCCAGTGCTAGCAACTCTCTGTAATTGGCAGTTGACTTGAATTACGTCATTATAGACGCATCTACACAAGTCCTCAGATGCTCACATGTCTAATCAACAGTGTGATTACGTCAGTTAGTGCAAACGTTGAAACAACCACCACCCATACATTCAACGTACGGTGAGCGCTTATATGAAAACAAAAGTAAATTAAAGCAACCTTTTTTTCTTTCGGACAGTTTAGCAGTCGTTAAGGTGAAAACGTTACCCGTGGCGTTCAAAGATAAAAAGAACTTATTCTACTCAATTCTCATAGATTTACTACTGTTGGAAATCGAATATCTTGGTGAATGGTCAATTTCATTTTACAGTAATCAAGTATCAAGAAGTTTAATAGTTTCTCGATTGTTTAGCTTGGCACAGATGGAGGAAAGTTCGACCATAATGACTACCGGCAACACATTTGTTTTTCGAAAAGACAATGAGGCAGTAAACAAAGGATATTGCATTAAAAGTATTACAATCCAAATTTTTACACGAAAATTAGGTAGTTGAGAAATTACAAGCAAAAGAGTATTATTTTAATAACGTATCACTCTCAATAGAAGTTAATGATTTTTTTTTCTTTTCTTAGCAGAAATTAATTTTGTTGAATAATAAAAAGGAATATACAATATCTCAACATACTTTTAGCATCGTTATCCTTTTGTGATTTTTCATTATCTGGTTCTTTACAGCCTGAATGGAAACCAGTTAGAATATTGCTTAGACTGAAACGTTTAAAAATAAATTATCATTCAAAATACATCATAAAAATTTGTAGTTTATATAATTATCTACACTAAATAGCAGGTTCACTGCAGTCTACATACTTTTATCGGTTAAAATTTTATTCTATATTTCCTGGAATACATTTACAAATTAACAACAGTGATTAGCATAGATTGGCATTTATCATCTGAGTAAAACCATGATAGACGCTAAAGGTGTTAGTCGTAAATATGCTTTTGAACAACTTTAAAACAGTAATTTAATACAGAAAATGATGATAATATACTTAATATACTTCATGGAAACATTTATTATCTGAAAACAACATGTTTTATAGTATTGATTTTAAAATGTTTCTTAAACGACAAATCTTATATCTCTATGAGGTCTCCTACGAACTTTAGATATCTTTTGCCGATAAGAAGCTCATAAACAATGCATTTGAAATTAATTCCTCTGAACTGCTTACATTTTCTCAGACCTAATTGATGAGTAAACTGTTTTTAGCTAATTCGCAAAGTTATGATTACAAAGGGTTTGCAACTATAGAGTGCGAAATATGTGGAAGTAAGCATCAAAGTATTTAGAAGAACAACTAATCATACATAAATTTCACAGGTAATACTTGTCAGTAAATTTTCTATAAGAGGTAACAATGCGGTTTAGACAGCAAATCTAGTAAATCTAAAAGGCTGAACACAATAAGGGAGGAAGAAGACAGTTATTTAAACCTACCCATCTACATCCTTATTGCATTTGAATAGTATTTCACTCCAGTAGCAGTCAGGATCTTTGAGCGCCACACAATCACTGAAAATGAAGTTAGAAAGCACATAATTCAATAAAACGAATCAGAGTAGAGAATGGACATTTTGCTTATATGAATACTTGTGAAACAACCCCAAAAGAATTACCTTCCAACTTTATATGCTGTTGTAAGCTATCACTAAGGTTACTGGAATACTGGCATCCTAAAATAGTAAAGATCATTAATTAAAGAATTAATTCAGTGGAACATGTTTTTATAGAGATCAAAACCGAGGGAGAGTATACACGAAAGTTGCTCGTCGGGTACATGGTAGTCTACGAACATGTTATGATGATGTCCAGAGAGCACTTCCTGATACTTTCAAGTAAGTGGTGACTTACGCTTTCAGGAGAACCAAATAAGCAACCTTTTTCTTTCTTAAGACAATAAAAAATCCCTAACTGCTTACATATTGTTGTAATCAGCAGTCCAGTATATACCGACAAATGCTTTTGCTTGTCAGATTAAGCATCCTTAGGTAACCTTATCATGTACAAATGAACTATCATTCCATTAGATCTTCATATTCAACGTATCAGTTGCAGTCATAGAGAGATTTTAGTTGTGATCCTAGATGAATAGAAGCCAGAGTGCATGCTTATATTGTGTCTGACTGCTTACTTCTGTTTCAAGAGAATTATGTATCAACTTAATAACTATAATGGGTTGGCAGAGGTTGAAATGTTAGTTTATAACTGATCTACAATATTGAAAATATTCAATGTAGTACATCAGCTTTAAAGAGTTACTGTGCTGAATAATACTGGTGAACAGTGTTGACATAATGATGAATCAGTTGTACTAGCTACTGTACTAAATCGGATGAACTGAATATTTTATATCATAAACAATCCTAGAAGTGTTTCTGTACCTGTAAAAAGACGTTTGACTACAGCTAGTCACTGACATCTTTGTATTCACTTCCTCACTTTCGTTCGCCATTGGTAAGAACTGTTTGTAATAGAAAAGCTTAGCAAATAGCCTGTGTTCATTCACCGCCCAAAATTTTTCCTTTGAAACTATTCTAATACAATGATCTCTTCATGCTTAGCACTTTAGCCTTCCAGATGAAGTCAAAACCACAGTTGACGGCTGTGATTGGATGAAATCACATTTTTTTTAACATGGGGGCTTTCTACCAGTTAAAGCGTTGGTTGAATAGGTTTTCATATAGGAGAAAACTTGAAGTATCCTTCAGTGTTGATATAAATGCCATCCACAAGTGATACTCAGATAATTCAAACTAATGTGCAACAAACTGCAAAGAACAATATCACTCACTGGGAGGTATGTACATCCAGCGGACGAGTCCTAAATAGGACGAAATGCTCATCCTCGATTCCACTCCTAGCCACAGCCCATGATTACTGTTCATTAGATTAGTGATAAATCTTAGTCCCTTATTTCTTTTCTTATATAGGAAATTTACACTCGGTCAAAAATCAAAGGGAGTTTTTCCACTCTATGATTCAGCACATTAAATCATAGATTTAAAATTCTGTTCATTCATCTTGAATTTAAACGTATGTCCACGCCAAACAACAGTATTTCTAGGTGGTTATTAACAAAGTAAACAGAATATGATTTTTTAAGAATCATCTGAGTTCTCTCTCCATCTAACCTCAGCTGATACAGTACTGTTCACTGAATGATACGTCCAGTATATCACACTGTAACACTGTTAACCATGTTAAATACACAAACTTGATATAATTACTTACTTCTACGGTACCCAAGTCTTACACTTGTTTTAAAAAAGTATCTTGGCCCCCTCAAATTACACTACTGACTAGAATAGGTCACTGACTAATGACTAAAAAAGTATTTCTAATGATAAGCTCAGAGTTTTATTTTAATTTTGAATGTTAGGAAATATGAATCGTCGATGTATGCGATTGTATGCTGATAAGCTTTGCTTTATTTGTTCACCATGCGCAAGATGTAATAAGAAAAAATGACTGCATAGACCTGCGCAGTGAATCAGTGGTTGGCGGCACACGTAGACTGAGGCAGTGTGGGAGTGCAGGATTGCAAGAATGCTAGAAAACGCTGCGTTCATTCACTGCTCAGCTTCTCGTGTGCCTGCTCAGGTTCCAATCCTCGCTTACTGTCATGAAGGATGGTGAAGCAGTCAACTGATAGGAAAGATGAAACACGCTTCTCCGACTCCACTGTGAATCACAAACGCCAGCATTTGACATGGATGATAGTAAATATGGAGTCGTCGGTCTATGCGGTTATATGCTGACAAGCTTTGATTTCTTCGTCCACCATGAATGAGTTGGAATAAGAAGAATGACCGCATAGACCTGCGCAGTGACTCGGTGGTTAGCGGCACACGTGGACTACCGTACAGTGTCAGTGTGAGAGTGCGAGAATGCTGTAAGACTCTATAACCATTCTCTACAAACAATAAGTTATTCGAATGCAAAACACTTTCAATTTTTGTGCACTACAAGTCTAAGATAACAGTTCTGGTAGATCTCATGAAATAACAGTTAGATAAACGATGGTCTGATCAAATCCCATTATTTTACCACTCATGTTCTGCGACTATAAATCTTTAAGGACTGTTTACAGTTGTATTCTTTGATGTTTGGTTGAAAGATGAACCTCTAGTTTGTAAGACGAAAGAAATTTCAATTTCCCACTCGTTTATCTTCAAGCATAAAGAAATTTATGATAAGTGATAACATGAGGTTGTATGACTGGAACAAAATCATGTCTTCAGACAAAATAATGGCGTCGTTTTCAGGTTAGATATAATCAGCAAAATTTGAACACTGCCATCAAATCAGTAGATATTAAATTTTCTAGGAAGTTTTAAAAAATCAGTTATTATGATCATAATGATGATAATGGTCACAGTTTCAAAAGCACTACAGACTTTAAGATAATTATCATCACCTGAAGAAAGCATCAAAGAAAATTCATCAGTTACAATTAGAAAGGTAAAGAAAACGAAGACAAGCAGGAAGTCACACTAATCATAGACAGACTAGACAAAATATATTCTCCGCTGACCGTTAAATGAGAAAGAACAATAGTGACAACAAATTTAATAACTCCACCAGCCAGCTATGGTCCGACATGTTGAGAGGCATGTATTTGTGTTGATTCTCTCCTAGTATGACCAACCCGGTCGAATCTCTATAAATACTATGTAGTCTTAAGGTGAAAGTTTCCGTTTACGGGTTTCCAAGACTGCTGTTTGTTAGTGTACACTAACTTCTCTTCTGTTACAGGTATTTAAAACCCTCAAAGTATATGTACTTAGTATGTGACAGTTTACCTCATTAAAACCAGTCATTTTTCGATATGCATTTAAAAAAATTATTAAAATGATCTCTACTTTGGTATTTTTGTTTACGAATTTATGTGAAACAAAATTAGTTTCCTCCAACTGACGTTTCGCTATTTCATGTCAATGGCTCTATCAGAGTTGCAGTCAATTGGTTATAGGAATCACTTTAAATGTTGTTTAAACATCTCTTAACATGCTTACTTGCTCGAACCTTGTCCCATATCTTCGGTTTCAACTTTTTCCCATTCCCTAGTGTTTTTCAGCCTAACCATACGTTACCAACGATAAAAACCACTCAACTAGAACAATGACCTTTTTATGTATCTTTAATCTGCAGGAGATTAGTTATTTCGTTTTTAGGTGAAAATATACTGCATACCGAGAAAAGTAGCTGAATTCTAACCAGACAGTCTAAACAATATTTCCTGAAATAAGTTAGCTAGAACTGACTCTAAGTTATTGCTTTAATGAAAAATACTGTTGTAAGTAAACCAGTTTCTTTTCATCGATGATAGTCAGTTGGTATTAACAGTGAATCTAGTAGTATTGTGTTACTGCTCAAAATGCTGCACGTAATGTCACCGCCATATGACTAAATGAGAGAAGATTAAGTAAAATAAAGGGAAAATAATACAAGCAAAAGTGATCGAAGGTAATAAGAAGAATCAGAATGGGATAGAAAAAGAAGAAAACTGTGATATCACTGTTAAAATAATGATAACGTATGGAACCATCTGCACTACCACATTTGGTTCTGAGTCATATCAGGTGGAGTTTCCATTCACTTGTTGTACTTTGCAATGTGTAAATCAATTGAGAAATTGATAATTTCGTACATAACCCAGGCCAACTATTACAGACGTCTCAAACTGATTTCATAGCTTAGTTTGGTAAAAGTTCACCTTGTTATAAATTAACTCCACCTCAAACACCAACGTGTGTTGCAGTTCACAGTGGCCAGGTGTGCGCAAAAATGTCCAAACGCACCAAGTTGGTAAAGATTTACAATCTTATCAACTGACATTCGTTGTTTTTCAGACACTCCACGTTTAGCTTCTCAATTACTAAAATTCTGGTTCTAAGAAACACAGCTGACTCTTCAAGTGCAACACCTGCCCCCTTTCCATTTCCTTCGCCTTCACTGACCATGCTTCAAAACCATGGAGTGTGATCGAGCAAGCTCTTGCGCACCATGCTAATCTTGGTGGACAGTCAGATATCTGACTGACTCCACTAGTATCGTTAGTTAGTTGGAGCCAACTTGGCCTTTATATACGTGTTGAGATGTTATAGGTAGCTAACCCATCAGGGGTGATATATCTTTTCAAGTACACCAAGTGGCTGATGACTCCGACCAAGTTAGGTAGTAACGCAGACATGAACCGAGGCAATAAATTGCATTTAGAAGATGGGAAAAGCAATTTAGAGTTGGATGAAATGAAAACGGTAATGTAATTTTTGTCAGTCGGTAGTGAACATGATAAAAATTATAACATTGCGTTTTTAACAAAACCTACCGACAAGTCTTAGCTTCATCACACTGAGTTATTTCAACTTGAATAATCTCAGTTTCATAAAACACTAATAATGAAAATTTATCCATAGTAGAATATGTGAACTGTTTTTCACCAGATAGAATCTCTGTAGTGTGATTCAGATATGAGTTGTAAATGAATAGAAGGTTTGTAACTCTTTCATTTGTCTCCGAAGCTATCATTTGTTTGAGTACACGAATATTCCCAGTAGAAATCATGGATGAAGATGGATAGGGAACGGTGAAACGTTCAGGAATACGTCCATTTTCTGTGTTATTTTTCAGGAAATAACTAGGTGTAGTGCTGGGATATCCAGAGAAATCTTCCTCAACTTCATTGAATATTAACATTTTAAAAACATCACCTTTTTCTAAAATTTCAAATGGATTGGAAAATATTTTTATGTGTATGAAAGTAGAATATTGTAAAAGTTAACTTATCTGGGTAAAACTCTTATACGCTTGCGGAATGAAATCAGTTATCAAATTTATCGACATAAGCATAGAATAGTACTTAAAATAAGAAAGGGAATTTTATCAGTAATAAGGATGTCTGGCCTAATGAAATTTACTTGAATGAAGTTAAAGCCAAATGTTATCAGTCCATTATGCACACTTATTGTCAATGAAGTTTTTTAATAGTACTACATAACTCTCAAATTTGCAGTGCCACACTTGTCAGAGTAGGACCATCTAACATAACACTTTTGTCTTCCCTACTTTAATAGACAAACTGTAGCTTATGCTAGTACTTTGTTAGTCTTCTACACACATTCGTTTCTACAAGTCAATTAAAAGTGCTATTTGTTATCGAAACGGAGAGGTCAGGTTTATTTCTTACTTCATTTGTGCACCCAGAAAAAAAGAATTCCCCTAAAGGATTGAAATTTATGATTTCGTGGTGATTTCCATGTTTGTTTCTATTTGGAGTCATGCATCATGCAAATAATTAGGTAATATATGAGTGACAAGATAATTCCCGGCTTTCCTATCAAAAACTAAAAAACCTCCCTAATATATATTCCATATCAAAGTCAGTTTGACAAAAATAAATTCAAGGCTTGGTGTCTAAACATAAATACTGTGCTTAAATTAAAGCGAATGTTGACCGAGCGCGTAGCTGTTAGGACTTTACTCGGTAACTAAACTGTTATCAGCTTATTTTCTGCGTCTATTTACGGTGAATCATACAGAAACTGGCTCATACTAAGTTACACACCATTGCACTTATCTGTCAATAAGTCCTTAGTGTCAGCAAATATTTACAAAATGCATTTAAGCATAGCTCTGAAATAAGCAGCAGTGAGAATGTACATTCCAGTTAAGAGATTCTTGTTTTAAAATATTTGATTAGCTCTCAATAACATATATCTGAGTTTTTCAAGTTTCTTAATTAGCCAAATTCAATATTCTTCCACAACATGATTTGACGAAGAGTTTCTGGACATCTGAATTTTGGTTTCAGAAACAGTACCTTTTTACTGTACTATTTAAGACACCTAATTTTTCATGGTAAAATCAAACAATCAACTCAGCAGCGAAATTTCTGGCGTTGGTATTTTTCATATAATTACTAGACATACGATAAAGTAGGCTGAACCTTCCAAGATACTTGATTTCCACGTGAACGAACTCGTTTTCCTGGTACTATTTTAGGAATGTATGTATTTGCTCGAATATTGGATGTAAATCTCCTACATCATACTAAATCACTATCAAACAGATTGAGTCAAATAACAAAGTAAACCAGTCTTATAAACTGCATTCACTAGATTATGCAGATAGTTCACAACAAAGGCCAAAAAATAATCTCAAAACGCGTACAGTGCATGAGGTCCACACTTCTTTGTGATACTTACTTCTTCTCGTTCAGATATTATTGCAGTAGTCTACAACAACACTTATCGCCTATCAGCTTTCCTAACAAACAGCTAAAATGTTATTTCTTGATATAGCTTTTCACTGCCTCGTCGGAGAATGTTATTTATGGTGAAGAGACAAAAAGCAGCTAACGAAACAGTAAACAATCAACAGTTTACTGAGTTCCTAGGGCAAACCTGTACCTCTCGTTTGGCAAGAACGAGGTAGTTGTAAAGCGTTTCGTAAAAATAACTGAAACTCTAACTGCATCATCGTCTAAATGTAAGACAGATGGAAGAGATAGAAGTGAAAACGCATAAATTTAGATGTGATATTTCGCATCGGTATTTCCTCATGCAATGAATTCAGACATAAAATAACCAGTCTTCAAAAAATATGCATAGTCAGCTTTTCAAAGGTGTGCTTTGAATTCTGTCATCGCTTAAAGCTTTAGAATTCTCTTTTTTAAGTACAAAAAAGCATCATCAAAGATACATTAACTTCGAGCATGCTTATAAGCATAAGAATTCCTTTTGATTATTATTTATAACCCACCTTCAACCATACCGCCTCATCCCATCCCAAAGGTTATGGACCTTATAGTTCTCTCAACTATCACTTTTATATTACCTTTTAAAGGAATTACACTCAAGGAAGATGTGTTTTTTTTCACTTTAAGCTGAAACTGTTCCAGGACTATGAACCTTGCAATTCTAAACTTTGGTAGTAATTATCCCAGACCTATGTTGTTCTCGAGGTGAAAATGAAAAAATCACGTCTGTCTGTTGCATAGCTCAACATGTGGCTGCCAGGCTAGCTTCTATAGGTTTCAATATTTCAGAAAATGCACAGACTCAGGATAGGAGTTTATCTTCAAAAGGGGATTCTTGTTGCCGATCTAAAGGGCTTTATAAGGACTAGGAAATACGAAAACTGATAAACCTTATCGTCACCTACAATAATCTCTTAAAACTCATTTGTCTCAGACAACCTCTATATCTGGAAATAAGGAAAGGTAACTAGGCTTAGGGTAAGTAAAAACGAAACCAACTATGAATGTAGTTCGAAAAATGTTACTGCTGATCATTTGTTAAGAGGATCAGTGAACATTTGCATTTTTTGATACAATCCGTATCAACCGTATTCATCAGTTACTTGAACGGTTTATGTTATTGTTGCATGACTGGCCATAGTTAGAAAATCTTTATATGCCCAGTTAATAGATAAAAATGCAGGAAATATATAAAGGAAGAATAACCGGATTACCTTTTGAAACTAAATAACACTTCTGATATGTCCCATTATTTCATTTAGTTTATTAGGGGAGCAAAAATTAAATAAACTTGGTAACCTGTAGGTAGAAGTAAGTAAAAGCTACAATCCCTGTAGTATTATTTAGACTAGTTGAGGCTTTTTTAGTTTAATTTTACCTACGATGGCAAACGTAGCTTAAAGGTATATTAATCGCGAAACCTAATAGATACAGAAAGTAGTGAATGCCAAGGGAGAAGGATTCAGAGGTCATCAACATTATGTAAGAGGTAGTAACTGGATAGATTGTTGAAAATTACCAATTCAATGAAACCAGTGTTGTTCTTCAGTGACCTCTTAAGGCAGTCAACTTATTTGTTCAGCTGTAAAGTCTGAATTAGAGTTCATCTAGCATACAATTGACTCTTGAATCCGTACTATCTAGTAACGGTTTCAGTGAGGAAGAGAAGTCGACCATCTTACTTCTACGAAAATTACAACAGATACTGAAACATGAATTAGAATAAGAAGCTATGAATTAAAATTCCCTTAGGGTCAGTAATTGGGATATTGTAGTTATATTGTGCAAAATACTAGCTTAAATATCAAGATCACTGGCCCCGTTAAAATAAATTTGATCTACTGATACTTTTTCCCTATGAGAAACGAGGGAAATTTCTTGTGATAACCAAAGAAAATTCAGCAGGATTAACACAGCGTAATTAAGTTCAGTTACTAAACCCATAACTAGACTTCAGGATCAAAAAAACATGCGTAAAATAGGTATCCTACTGGTTTAAACAAACCTAAGTTTGTCATATCTTTCCAACTAAGTCTTAAAGTACTAACGGCACTCATCACAATTATAGATATGAGAGCAGCATTTATACCGTCTATCAAGGACTGCCGCTACAGGGTGTCACAGTAAAGCAAATGGTGAGTACAATAACTTCGATAAAGGCTATGCACTCAAATTCGGGCAGTAAAGTATCGCTTTACAGTGAACTGTAATCTGAGATGGTGATAAGCAAGACTGTTTTAAGAAAATATCCACCATAATTATCACTCTTCATTTTTAATCTGTACATGCTTATCAGGCTGGTTTGTCTAATTTTAATACCTCAGGAATTTGTATATTACCTACAGACGTTATAGTTGACCTACACAATATGTGGTAATACAGTAGCAAGACATAGGTGGTTTGAATGCTACTGAGTATCCCGGACGCTAACCTTTTACTTGTTGAACTTCAGGGTTGATCTACACTAAAATTTATTTTATAGATCGATGGTGAACTAAGTGGGTTTGTTGACAGTTAAAATCCACTGAAAGATGAGAATTTTTAACACCCTGAAAAGAGTAAAAACTCTTTGTAAGGTTGTTGAAGATGAATATTACATTTACAAAATCAATGCATTATCAATATCAGCTAGATATTTATCAGCATATCATGCAGTGAGTATTATGTTTTAGCGGTTTATTCTTTATTTGGAACTGTGCGAATGGACGTGCACATATTACTAGTGTACTTATTTCACACCATATGTGACATCATGGTGTTTCTCGTTTCTTTTAGGCAGACAAAATGAGGAATCGATAAGATGGGTGTATAATACTACTGAAAGAGGATATGTCTCAAAATTCCATCCTAAATTTTCTTTTTTTATCTAGCTAGAGCATATCAAAAGGTGAACGACATTTAGAGTTGGACAAAGTTAAATTGGGTTGCTTGCAGCTAAGAGTTAACGGATTAGGATACGACACCGTCACGAAATGTTTGCGCGTCACCTTGATGTATGTGGATCGAAAACCCAAATGTGTTATGAGCATATTGTTGAAGTAGGTAGAGAAATCAGTTTGTTATCGAGTATCACGGTGTGAATATATTTTCATTTTAAGTCAGCTTCAAAGCAGTTTACCATCCTCCGTTCAATTTTTTTCCTAGTAATCTCCTATTCTTGAAGTCAACTTCTAATTTATTCACAGTTATATTTTTTTAACTGATGCACCATTTAAATGTTTATTGGTTTACAATATATGTCTAGAATGCTTAGCTTTTAGAAGATTCTGCAAAATATGTTACGTGGAATGCTTGTTTAAGCCACAATTTCATATGTCACTGTTGCATTTCCATAATATGATGCGACTTAAAAACTACAGCAAACTTTTGATGATACTCTTCAAATAGTATTGAATTCTTCCCACTGTTTTCTTTAACCCAAATCACTAGAAACAGTAAAAGTCCTTTATATGAATTAAAGTACATAAATTGTAATTCTTCTGCTTACTTGCTAAATGCTATTTTAAATTTCAAGTGGATCATAATGTATGGTTTAGGAATTCAGGTTTACAAATACAAACACGGTTGCACCCATATGTGTGTTTTTCTCACCATAGACTGGCAGTCTTACACATACATTCTTTAGTTATAACTCACTCTGCATTGTTAGATTTAAAAGATAAATATTTCTGGATGTAAGGATAAATTGGTTAATTCATCTAAAGAAACAACATGAAATACCTCGCCCAAGTTACGGCGTAAATCTGTACGTTTACGTAATATAATTTCGAAAATGTATACTTACCTGTTCCAACATAAAAAATAGTATACCGAATATGTTTGATTTGTCTTGGTTGTGTTGTATCTTTGTAAACTCTGGATACGTGTCGAGGATCTATAATAAATACAGATATCTGTGAACGTGTTTCTATCAGGCCAACAATGTTTAATCTTTCTGGATAAACTGAATCAACCATCAGTGATGCTTCCAAAGCTAAGCGTTTATTTGACGAAGATGGACCAGGACACTTTAAATCACATAACATGAACAAAAATTAAACAAACTGTTAATCAAGTCAGCAATATCGTAAATTATTATTGCTTGACAAAACGAGTACTTCTTAAAAAGGATTTTTAAACTATTCTCTGAAATGAAGAGTTTCCTGCTTTATGTAATCCTCTTCAGACTCGAAATCTGTCACGCAGAATCAATAAAAGTACTTTAACACATTCAAACTTCAGGTGATTCAGTAGGGGATTCAAACTTTAAATAGAGAATAAAATGAATACGCTATGTAAAGGCTTTCTGTCGGACAAGCTAAATATTTTTGTTTGCATACATTAAAATAATTTACAGTTAGAACAAATCCAAAGACATGTACATTGATCTAGGTGATTCATAGTACACACAGGGAGGCTCAAATATATGCCACTGGTATGCAGTCTTTAAGTCCTCGTACAAACAAGTTAATAGAAAATCTTTTTAACGAAACTTAGCATACAAACCTTTCATTTACTTCTTGAGGTTGTACCTCTTAGTCGGCTATTTCTCTCCTAACAGTGCGTTTTTCACCAATCCTTTCTAACTACAAATGATTGGATTTCATGTGATATCTTATTCCTGACTGCTGACCCCATTGATTCAGTGTTTTAAAAAAGGTCATTTGCACAAATGATCTGATATCTACTAGTCTGATTTCCTTAGAGATAATCTGAGGATTGCAGGGCAATATATATCAAGTGTTTCACCTCTTATTAGATTCCTTATTTAAGACTACGTGACTCTCAGTGTACTCTTTTCCAAATTAGATTTGTTCCTGACATCCACTACTTCTCTACGTATAGCATAATCTGGTGTCAAATAATAAAAGTTGCTAGTTCTAATATCAAAGTTTACTTTTTGTAAAAACGTTGAATATCTCACTTTACCAGCTTATCAAATAATGCTGGCATAATCGATATGATAGATATTATACTTTCCTTTACTAAGAATAATAGCATCAGAGAACAGATGTATTCAACAGACATGTCAAAAGCAAAAAACGAACCTTCTAAATTCCACTTCTTGGCATTATTTATTATAATTATTTCAAGTCACTTCTTTAGTCTGGCCCCGTTCAAACTCAAACTCGTAGTCAACGATTATTTACACCTATGTTTCTGACATTATAACTGTTAAATATCACCTCGAGTTACAGCTCCAGATAGATTATATATCCTTGGCTGGACGATCTCCATGGAAGCATTTTATCTATTCATTTTATTTATATCCAGAATAATCTTGTCCAACAAATATAAGGCCTAATGATCTTTATGTACTTAGTTCCAGAAAACGAAATTTCACATCTCTATAATATCAACTGAAAGTCAAACACAATCACATAGGAGACACTAAATCAACTTTATTGATTTATTATTAATACTGTTATAACTAATTGATACCTGATTATATTCTTTCCGACGATTAATGTAAGACTGTATTGTAGGTTTCGTATGAAATATTAATGAGACGTAACAAAGTTTGGTTGAATTCATTTAATCCATGATTATTAGTACTATCAAATTCACATTTAGAACTATAGTAAACTTTCTATTATACAATAGTTTACAAGTATAAATTTCATTCTATGAAATGTGAATTGTTATGAATATTAGAAGAATACACTAGCATTTAATAATAAATTATGCAAATAACCAGATATTTCCAAAAGAAAAATAAATGAACATCTTATACTCTAAACCTTTTTCAGTAAATTATACTTCTTAGAGGCACCATCTAAAGTGAAAATTGGACATAAGCTTATCATTTCAGCTTGCAAAATTAGCAGTAGCGAAAAAATATTAGGTGAATCGAACGAATAATGACGAAAAAAAATTTGGCAATATACGAAAGAGAGAATTTTAAACAAATACTAGTAAATATGCTCGAAATTTTGAATATATATCTTTTTACAAGGAATTATACTAATATATCTTTTTATTTCTTATATATGAGAACACTGATGAAGTACTTTAGGTATCTCTAGATGCGTTAGCTCAGCAGACAGACAGTTGGAAAATGAGCATCACGTACAAAATGAAGTATCACTCACTAACAAACTTCACTGTGATAGAAAAATTGGAATTATACAAGTATAGTTACTTTATAAATTATTTACCTAAGACTTAAATTATTCAATTCTATCAGGTAAAATTATTGAAACAAAACCTCCTCAATGCTTATAAAAAGAAACTGATAACGTTCAAATTAAACAAAATCAGAATATCAACAATCATGAAGTCTCTTTGCTCTGTTCTATATGAATCATAAAAGAAAAATCAGATTCTGTTTTATAAGCCATTCACATTTACGGCCAACTGCAGTCAGGTATATGAAGCACTTCTAGAAAATACCTTAAAAATATTTATATCTGTAGGATTTGGTTAGGTTAGAAAATAGACGATTTTAATGTGAATATCCCCCACTAAAGTAACAATACACAAGTGTGATATCTCCTTAAAATAAAATGAGTATTTTTTACAACTTGATACAATTATCATTCCTAAGTAAGTTAGATTTTATCAAAAGAAGCCAAACTCAAATGCACAATACTTCAACCATTTTGAAAAGAAATTCAGAGGCTATCACCATAACCATTCTATATACTATTGATTATATGATTCCGTGTAACCGTAAAGTAATAGCACATTTTCACTTTAATTCTAGGAATTATTTTAGGGGACCAATTATTAACACTGTTTTTTGTTTCAAGTTAATTCTTAAACATACACTAGAAATATAACACAAAATAAGATTTTACCAGTCCCTAAGTCAAGAAAACTGAACCGAAATCAGTTATTCAACTAAGAAATCATTCGCTTCAGTCTGAGTATTTTTCCATTTACCGTCTTCATTTGAGTGAACTTCGTAGATGTAAATTAGTTGTTTAAAATTTTCTAAGTATTTGAAACCACTATTGAAATAATCCTAACATTTCACTATAACTATTTGAAAACATTACTCATAGGTTTTACTTATTTAACACACTTCAAATGTCCCCTATGATTCGATGATAAGGGGCAAAGATATAATGATGCTGCAGAGGTTGTTTTGATTGCTCAGATTTAAGACCACCAGTAGCTAACAGACAAATTCATGAAATACTCTCTTATAGTCGAAAAATGAAATTCACTGAAATTAAATCTATGAAGATGATAGCCGGATAATATTTAATTTTAAAATTAGGTCTTAGAGTCAAGTAGTTTTCATTGGTTGGTCATGTTTGCTTTAGAACAAGTATATGAACAGCAAAATAAGAAAATTCCAGTTTTATGCAGAACAGTTTCACAGCAAATAGAAAGCCATATCTACGGTCTTTCGTTTAAACAGTAACACTATTGGTGATTTTGAACAAATGACTCCTTTTACTATTGAAAAAAAATGTTTCTCCGATAAGCTTCAGATTTTTTCCTCAAATTAACTTTTGGTTCACTTATGTACTTAGTACAAGCTGCCACCACAGACCAATCACCTAAAATAAGAATTTACTTACTGCTGTAATGTAGATTATATAAGCTTGATATCCTCTAGTTCGATTATTTCTTATCATGGATTCTATTTAGATTAGAATGACAAAGCCATTACTTCAAAAAGGATACAGATTTACAAATAATGCACAGCGAAATAACGAGCAATAAAACAGTTCATGCTGAAGTTTGTGAGCAGAGACTGTTACTCCATATTCCGACTTTTTTGGAGCCTTGTTCTATGATTCGTTTTGATTTCTTGATTTTAAGTGAACAAAAATTTGGCAAGATGACTTTTGACATTGGTGTATGCAGAGTGGACTTTCGGTTTCGTCATCTCATACTTTCGAATATCCATTAGATCAGAATTCGATGGGATTATATATTTGTACTTAATGTCTCCTCAGTAGCTTAAAAAACTTCAATTTTTTGTTGGAGACGAGTTGAAAGGGAATAAAAAAATCTAGATTCTGCTGCTTTTAAAAACTGCCAAACGATTTAGCACTAATTTTTTGCTGGTTTAAATCTTCAGGGAAACTTGATTTTCTTAGAGGTTTTAGATTGATTTATTTCGAGTCTCCAGTGCCAAGAGATCCTAAACTAGGCCGCAATAGCTTTGGAATGCTTTAAGATTAGCAGTGGGTTTACAGATGATGTCATCCTGAGATGAAAACTGTTTAAAAATCAACTAATATCCGTGAAAACTCCTAGTTGTTGGCATCATATCGAAAAAAACCTCATTCTAATATCTGAGGATATATATTTCATACTTATTACAGACTTACTAGCTAACTTACTATATTGCACTCTTGATCAACAGACTTTAAAAAATAACTAGAACAAACGTTACCATGTGACGGCCTGTTCTAATAATTTTGTATGTTATTCTTCTAGACCACGCTGAAGACGTAACTTATGAAGCAATAGCCAACATCACTCTTGTAATATGTTCAAATGCAGTCGCATGACTTTAGGTCACAGTATCGACGAAGAGAAGACTTTAGACATTTTATTGCCTAAGATATTAAAATGCTTAGTAATGATGGGCAGTGGCTAGCAGTGGAATCCAGGATGCGCATTTCATCCTACTTGAGGCTTGTCAGTTGGATGTACCGGCTGCCAATCAACGAAGGTGCCATACAAGTAGTAACATTAAAATGCCTGTTTATAAGAATTTTTATGCAAAATCATTTGCAAAAGTAGATAAAAATATCTAGACAAAAAGATTTTTTTGGAATCTGTGTGTTTAAGATCGCCTATTTTGAATTGCCAGTAGTATCTGTATTGAGAACGCACTTTCAAACTATAAACTAAAATATCTTTAAACTACTTTGTAAAGTTAAAATTACACTACATTTTATGACAGCTGCATAACTTTGGTAGTTTAGGTCTACTTTAACGTGCAAAATGTTTTGAAAACTTACCTTCCAAATTGTTATCAACGCATGCATATGAAATTGACAAAAAATGTGAGATTATAACCAAGTGTTAAGAGAAAATATAAAATTGAAACAAACTCTTACTGACTATTATTAAAACTTTTTAGTAATCTTCATCTATCTCAAAATATAGACTTACTCTAGTTATATCTTTTAAGTGGGGATACTTGTCACGATTTATTCTTTTCAATCCATTTGTACATTTAGATGTTCCACGACCGAATAGGTTACTTTCATCATTAAGATTGAGATGGCTTTCATTATGCAACATGACATCTCTTAAATGAGATGGAGAGAATGATGGTAAGCGCATTATCAAATCACTGGATTCAATTATTTTATCTACTGCAGAGAGTTTATAAATACACAATGCCAGTGGACCAGTAGAAACCAAATTATTTATCAAACTTGGTGGAAGATGATCGTCTATTTGGGGATTACGAGCTGAGAATAAACCATATAGAAGTAAGTCGTTTTTGATTCCTGGTGAATAACTAGTTGTTAGTGCAACAAGATAGTTAAAATCACGATTTGTAGATGAGATACTGATTGAAAGACAAAAATAGGAAATATAAAAAAGAATTAAAAGTAGAAATCGTTGAATAAGTTGAAAAGTTTAACCTGAAATAATTTTTTCACCTATTGACTATTTACTTGTGTAGTGAGAAATGAACACTAGATTTTATTATTTTTAAGTTGTACCCAATACACTGCAAAAATACAAAATTTTAAAAAGCACACCTGTTCTGCGTAGAAACCAGATCATTCACTTAGATATGTTACAGTTAAAGCTGTGGTCTATTAATGTATAGATTATTTAGTATTTAAGAAACAAGAGTACAAACACTAGAATCGTGTACAGTTATACTTACCCCATTAGAGTTACTTAAAGTCACTCAATTCATTCACTTTGATAATTTAAAGCAATAACATTTGTTGTAAGGTTTAAATAACACTTTGTTTGAAACAAGTTAATTACCTTGAAATAAGTATATCGATGTCAGATGTTCAAAAAGAACTAAATAAAAGGCAATATCAAATATTTCACGGCGGTTTTCATACAATGATATTATAGTTGTATCTAAGAACAGACACAAATCTTCTCACTTTCCACTACCAACCTGCACTGTTAGGTTACGATTGAAGAAAAAACAGTCTTTAGGTTTTGCATTTTAGTTGAAACAAGACAAACCACTATCTGCTGACTCTTAATTCATTTTACAAACTTCCATGCAGTCACATTGGTAGGAAGTGACTGGATACATAATTCAGAATTTATCCCATTAAACCGACTTAGAACCCTAAAGATATAAGAGTTTTCCCCTTAGATCATGACTGGATTACTGAAGTCATTTAGAGTCACCATAGCTCACAGGCCTAGAAAATTATGTCACTTCATGTTGTGCTGGTTAAAAAACATAACAGTAAAGGTCGACAAAATAATATGCAGAAAACACTTTATCGGATAGATTAGCTACCTTTTACTATGTCCATCTGTATGAACATTGTTTTGCAGCGAAACGTCACGACAACATCTTTGGTTTCATCAATGAACTTAAAAAATTGAGAACACGAATTCGACTGAGAAAGTGTGGAACTACTGAATAAAAAATATTACAAAAAGTCCAGAAAACGTTTAGAAGCCTAGTATTCTTTTCAATCAGCGATCAACACACTAATTAACAATGCCGTAATCTACCAGCCAATACGAAACTCATTCAGCCATCTTGTGAACAGCCGCACACTAGTAAATGGGCCATACTTTTTATGTAAGGGCTAGTGATACTATCTGGCTCCCCAGACCTCGGAAGATGAATAGGGTTTCGAAGTTGTGACCCTAAACCACTAAGCCACAACTCTGCAACTAACTGTAAGGGACATGTGAAACTAATTGGTCAAGGCCCAAGTCAACAGAACAGCCAATCAAAAGGCTTATGAAGATAGCGGCAAGGATTTTGTAGACCCAAGTGGTCACACACTATTTTCAAGGACACTTATAGGGAATACCTCACAGTCATCTTTTTCTGAATTTTAGGCTGACAACGTTGTCTAGAATGGCAATAAGTCATCCAGATTAGGGAGGACAAAACTAACAAAAAATATCAACTGGCATAACCTTCGGTGTTTCCTATCAACGAAATAGCTATCAAAACAGGAAACACTCGTTTTTAAAGAAGTGCTTTATCGATCTATTGCTCTGGACAGTGATACGATATTGGTTTTGTTCAACAGTCAGTCAAAGTAGGTTTCTAGAAGCCTAACAGGTGAGATTATATGCGTTGATTAGAACAATGCAACAAAATAATCATATTGAAGACAAGCTGAAAGGGGTAGCAAGGGTTGTTGATTGGAAAATTATAACCAACAGCGATAAAAATATCAAACCTTTCAATGAAGTCACAACTGGAAACACTCTCCAGTTAGGCTCTTTATTACGAGTTGTTATTGCTCTCCATGCTTCTACCCATCCCTCATGTACTCTACCTTCCCAAATCTTCACCATTCGATCATCCTCAATCGCTGTTTTTCAGTATCTTGCTATATACTACTGATATGCACTCCTATAAGTAGCGTTTGACAGAATATTACCATCACTCACGGAAAATTTTGGCTACATACTTCATTACATCAAACCTAGCCTAGGTAGATAAATTAATTTTAGATGTTTTGTTTGTCGAAGCCGCTTCTTTACAGTACAAGTTGTCGCATGTTATACAGATTTTATTCTGTAAAGAAGCGGCTTCCATGAGGTCACAAAATGTCAGAAACTTATTTTTCTATCTCATTTGAGATCTTACAAATATATTTCTTTTATAAACATTATCATGAAAGAAATACTTTCTTGCTCAACACACAACTTCAGGAATAACGATTTTGTGGTTAGTATAAACACACATATGCGAATGTTTCCGTCTATTTTTCTGTCCATAAAATAAGATCAATACTAAACTTTGTTTTTGCATTTCATGTTTTCACGAATTTTTCGCGGATATTGTCTTTGTGTGTGATGCCTTCAAAATCCCTCAAAAGTATAATTTATTCATAACGTCATCAAAATACAAGTCACTTCTTATCGTCTAAATAACTAAAAATCTGTAGATTAGTGTCTGGTTTTCAGTTAACCGGTAGATTTCTTGGCAATCACGTGCTTTATTTGAAGGAACTTACTATTTGCACAAAAATTGCCAAACGACAGAAAGGGTTGGGCACTGTCTGCCAATTGCTTGTTTTTCTCTTATGTTTCCTTCTCAATATCAATTAAACCTTTTTGTTTTTCAAGATAATAGACGTAGAAAAGAAAGGTGTGCTTACAGAAGTCCAACAACAAGATAGTAAAATTTTGATTCTTAAGAATCTGGAGAAGAAAAAGTATTGCCCATTTTGCTTACTAAATGCAACAAGATTTTACCTCAGTGCTACCAAATATCTTGTTCTCAATCAAATTTCTATTGTTATAATTATATTCAGCTGTCATGATGCTAAGAAACACGTAATTTCTACAGTCAATTAATATTGAGAAATATCGTCATCTAAAGTTCATTATTTCCTGTTGAGATATTACAAAGCTTTTCAATACGCAAAAGCTTATATTTTGAGTTTTCTTCAGGTTAACAACCAAATCAGTGATGAAAAGCTGGTTATTACAATAAACGTATCTTCTTATGAAATTGATGAACTGTGGAATAATAAATCTGTTACCTTTTCGCATTCTTTGACTGAAGTCTTAGAAAGTGTTTACAGATAATACTTTGAATTCTTCGGGTAGAATTTTGTGGATAATACCAATTACATGATCCAACGATAAATATTTAAAAACAACAGTATACGTTTTCTTAACTGTAGAACACCTTTAATAATACTATGCCTTTCAGTGAGCATTCATTCACATAAATAACAGTATAATCACTCTGTGAAAGTTTCACCTTTTCTTGTTTCTGATAAAACAACATTCAGTATATCATGACATTCTCTTAAATGATGATAAGATGTCAGCTGGCTACTTAATCTGTTCCATTATATTGATAATGTCTGCAAACTATGGCAACCTGGATATTAAAATAAAAACTCTTCAAAGACTTCAATGTAGATCCAGTTTACATTCACATAAAATACTCATTTTCACTTTTTTTTAAAATTGTTTATCCAATTTGCCTATCTCTTCTTGTATTCATAAGGTTAAACAAAACGTTCTATTAAAATCTTTTTTACACTCTCTTCTAGGCTGTTTGAACACTAAGAAATAGAAGATTGAAATCTCTCATCAAAAGTTACGACCTTTCAATAAATCCTCCTACAACTTTTATAATTCCTGGATATATATAAACCATCATGCTAAAAAGGAAAAGATTAGGAAAACAGAATGTTTCGAAGTAATTCTCTTTTTATTTTGCATTTATCTAAATATGACAAAATTTGACTGATCTATTGCCGAACGTTGTGATAACCGTTTTTATCTAACGAAAACATTTAAATTTGTAATAGCCAATAATCTGACCTCAATTGTTCTAAACAATTCTTCCGTTTTCATTCTTTAACTCATTTCCTTTCAAATTGTTATATATCGTAGACTGACACCAGTTGAAGGAACAAAGGAAATCTGGAAGCACTGGACAGCCGTTCCGTCCGACTAGTATGAGACTTCAGCAGTGCGCACCCACGACCCCACCAGGGATCGAACCTATAACCCTCAGGTTCCGTGACCAGCACATTACCATTGATCCACTGGGTCACAATCCAATGGTTCATATTTCCAACTTATGTTACCTTCAACTGATGTCAGTCTACGGTGAATAAAAACTTGAAATATCTTCAAATCCCCATAAATCCCTCAAAATTCTTTTTTTTTGTTGTATTATCATATTTACAATGTGAGGTGAAAAAAACGACTCACTTGCTCAATTGCTTTCTTTACAGTTCAGATTAAAACTGTATTCAAGTTTGGCTACTATGAATCAAAATAGTTATTTTTTTTGAATTCGTGTATTTTCAGGATGAATTTCTTCAAATCTCATCAGAGTTACCTACTGAGTTAGTCTCAAATAACTTTTGTTAACAAATAATCTGAGCATTTTCTTTTTGAAGACAATATTATGCAGCACTATCTCTTGAAAAATAACTGAAACTTGATCGATGAAATTCCAAATTTTTGAGTGAAAAACTTTGATGGCTAAAAAATTTATACTGTTTCACTTTTTGTATCACCTATGAGAAATTTACTATAAAACTCGAAACCCTAGTAATTTAATGCTTGTCCTTTTATAGTGATGCAAATGAAGCTGATATAGTTTATCCCTAAAAAATAAATATTGTGTTCAAAAGGGTCATCCAGTTAGTATGTCTAGCGAAACTAAGCATTACCCTTGAACTAGGTTTCGTGTCTGTTGGCACTTGTTAGCATGGTGCACTTGCAACCTCGACGAAACTGCTGTCCCGCTTGATATTCGTACCCGCATCATCTAGTGTTGTAGTCAGAGACGTCACCACTGTAACCTTGTCCTACAGGATGTCAATCTTGGCTCAGATAGCACAATGATTACTTTGCTCA